TCTTAACTCTATCCATTTGCCTGTCTCTATTTTCTTCGATACCTTTTGTAGAAAATATATTTCAATCTCAGATTTTAAATTATTAATTCATTTGTGAGAATTCTACACATCTATCATCCTGAAGAGCTTCCTAATATCTCTGCCGAATGCCTTGGCTCTGAGGCCATGTCTCCTTCTTCTGGTCTCCTCACTCTCCAACAAGAAAAAAATAAATTATTTTTTACCGTATTGATTCCTTTCAAAAATCTAAAAATGTAATTCAAATCAATCCTAAACCTTCGATATCCCTAAGATTGCAGGTATACTTTATATAATCTATACTCATAGTCTAACTTTTTAAATTTAGTAACATTCTGATGAATCTGCCTTAATTCCTTCCAGAGTCAATATATTCTTGTTAAGAAAAAGGATGCTCAGAGCAGTAAACAATACTGTATGTGTAGTCTAGCCAATACTTTGTATAGCTGTGGCAAAAGGTCTTCCTCTTCATATTCTAGCCCTCCAGTCATAAATGTTAACGTCTCATGAGCCTTTTAGTTTATATTTTGTATATGACCAAAATATTTTTGTGATGGGCATCCTTGTATCCCTAAATATCTTTGAAATCCCTCAGTTTTTCACCATTTATAGAATAGTCAAATCTGTCCTTTTGTAACCCAAAATGGATGACTTCACACTTAATTGTTTTGAAATTCATCTGTCACAATTTCTTTGATTTATTAAATCTGTTGATGTCACTTTGTAACTTGCATGCTGGCATTTATACTAGTTAGCATGCCATCAAACAATATGTCATTGGAAAATGTTTATATTAGCCTCTTTATTGTGTTGACTAAGTAATTAACTTAGATCCTAATAGGACACCACTGGTTACTTATCATTGAATCAGTTTAATCATTAGCCTTCAATTTCACGTGTTTTAACTCATTTAATAGTCCCCTTTGTGAAAAATTTCAAAAGATCCAGTACATGATGTAAATTACATTTTCCTGTCTTTGGATTATTTAAATATGACTTTGCCGAATCCATTTGTCATCCTTGGCCAACATTTGCCTTGCCAAGTGTACAACTGCGCTCAAAATTATTCAAAATGTTTTCCCTGCAAATAATATTAAACCTGCTGGTCTTTAGTTTGAAGATTTGTCTTGATACTTTTTAACTGATGCAGTATTGTTAGCTACTTTTCAACTCCAAGGATTTTCTCTCCAGTTTAGCAAACTTTATCTTGTTCCTATCTATTAGAATTTGTGGGCACAAACAAGTTTGTAGCCATTTATCTGCTGTTATTGGCTGATATTTTCCTCTGCTATTCCTGGAATATATCCTTCCCAGGCACCCTTCCCTCCTTTTCCTGAGCTGTTCCCTGACATGTTCTCACTAACCTCACATTCAATGTTTATCTTGGCCACCATCATCACTGTTTTCATCTACTTTTGCTTACTTTGTAATTGGCTGAATTGTCCTACCATCAGGACCTTGCATGTTTTAAAAGCTTTTTTCCTTATCCCACTTTATATCCCCACTGAATCACATTGGCTTAAACATGTTTTGATTTCCAATTGTATTTTCAGCATCACCTCCTCAGATGTGTCAGAGGAATAGGAGAGGGTTATTCAGCCCCTTGAAGTCATTCCTAGGCTGAGCTGTATCTGGGCACACAATCCCCACACTGTCCCAGACAATAACAGTCCTTCACTATCCTGCACAGCAACAGACCCACACAGTACACAGCCCCACAAAATACACAGTCCCAAACAAACGCATGCAACATACAACCGCGCACAGGAGCTCTCCAGCACAGTGCACAATCCCCTACAGGTCATGGTCCCACAAAATGCCATGCTGTACTTTGTCCGACAGAGTACATAATTCAACATGGTGTACAGTCCCACAAAATGCCACACAGTACACAATCCCTTCAGTAGTGATCCAACACAATCCCACACAGTCTGCAGTCGCACATCATCCCATACAGTTACAATCCCACACCTTCACAAACAGTACTCAGTTCCACAAATACGCAGGGATACATAGGCCATGCAGTATTATGCTATACTACATTGTTTTACATAGTTCCACACAATGCACAAATTAGTAGCGCACTGTATCAATCAGTGTCACATGGTAGGTCAATATGCCACTTGTTAGTAATTGCTGGGACACGTGATGTTGTACAGTTCTCAGTGTGCCAAGGTTTTCCAATGTAACCACTTGTGCTGTTTCTCTTTTCTCTCTCACCCTGCTTTTCCGGATCTAGATGCAGATTACCTGCCTGTGGGTGGGAATTGAATGAACTTTTGCGCTGTTGCATACCAGCCTGTGCACTTGCTGCTCGCACTGGGGTTCCTTGAATTCCCTTTCTGCCTGTTATAGAAAGGCCTGATCAGCAGTTAGACCAGTATTGTAACCAATTGATTTTCTAATCAAAACAGTAAGACAGCAGTCATGTCAGCAGCACACGCTGACTCACACAAGGACCTGTTTACTCTCTCCTCTCTTCAGCTTTAACAAAACATTGTCACAGCTGGTGACTCTATGCCCTGAGCAAACAACTTTCTCCAGTCACATTTGATCGGTATTGTGTTAGACTAAAGCAAAGAGAATTGTTTGCAGCTACTCTGAAGTTCTGGTGTTGGGCTTGGCAACAGTTCAGCCTGTGGCTATAAAACAACTGCAAACAGTTGGTGTACTCAGTAACAGAACCACAAAATACCACACAGCACTATATAATAACATACAGAACTACGGTATAGAATGCATAACTACATAGTAACACACAGAATCATGCATTACACACTGAACCACTTAGGGAACCACACATTAATGTACAATAACACACAGAATGTCCGAGAAGCACGCAGTCAAATTAATAACCACACAATAATACACAGGAACACCAAGTACTACACAGAACAGGAAACTCCACAGTAACATACAGATGCAAGCAGAACCAAATAATAACACATAGCAAAACAAAGAACCAGGAGTTTGTCATACAGAACTGAAGAGAACCACACAAATAGGCACAGTGACACACAGATCAACATTGTAACCCACAGAACCATGCAGTAACACACTCCATCACACTGCAACTCAGTGAGCAGAAGTTTTTATTGCCCCATCAAAGGATTTCCATGTGGAGGAACCTATAAAATTCTGCAAGTCACTTCCACCTGCTCCTGACTGTAATTTTATGGGGGGAAGGGCAATGCCTATTCCATGCTTTCACATTACCAACCCCTTCCTCACCTGAGGGCCTTAAATTATGTCTTGTGTCCCACCTCACAGTAATTCTTTAGCTGGCAGGAGAAGTTAAGGGATGTGAGGGAAGCCCAGTAGATCACTTTGTCCAGGCCTCAGATGGAAATGTTCAGAGTGCTTCTATCACCAGTCCCCTTTCCAAATAGACTGGATAAAACCTCACCAACCAGGCTCTGCCACAAACCTTGACCCTAAATGCCCACTCTGGCCTCTCCTTCATGAACCCCACCTTGCTTTCCCCATCCTCCTTTTGCTGATGGTGCTGCTGGGACTACAGATACAGACTCCTTAGACAGCATAAGATCATGATTGCACGCAAACCTACTTCAACACTGCGTCAAATGTTATCAAAGACTAAAGACCCCATACTGACAGTAAACAGGGCTAATGTTATATATAGAATCCCATACAGCAAGTGCAATAAACATTGGACAAACAGGGAAGAAACCGATGACCAGGTACACAAACACACAGCTGGCATTAAAAAAACAGGACCAATATTCACTTGTCTCGATACACACAGACAATGAGGGCCATCAGTTTGACTGGGACAAAGTGACCATACTGAGACAAGCGAACAACAGACATACAAGGGAATTTCTGGAAGCCTGATTCTCAACAGGGGGCTCCATTAACAAACACATGGAAGTAGACCCCGAATACAAACTGCTGCCAAAAAACAGAATCGGAAGTGACAAGACTCATCACACCAGAGGATCTCATAAATTCGCAATGGAGCAGAACACCAACGCTTCGATTAGAAGTCGTACTGATGATGTTGCCTAAAAGGGTAACGAAATGTCTGTAACTCCACAGAACAACCGGCTCAGCGAGCAAACGAACAACCGCATCCACAAGCCGAGCTACAAATTTTTGCCAAGCTCTTTGAGGTGAGATTTCCTTTTAAGTAAGATGCAGAAGGCTCACCTCCAGCTAATTAATGCTGCTTGGAGCAAGAAATGACCGCAGGGAGCCACAATCAGGGGTAGGACAGGGAGCAGAAGTGGGATCCCACGTGAAACAATTTATGGGCTGAATTGTATGGGTGATGGTGTTACTTATCACATCTTAACGTGTTGAGCAGGAACTGCCAACACCCATAAAATTCTGCCGACAGAACCACACAGTAACAAAGCCACAGAGTAAAACAGTGAACAAAAGAGTCATGCAAAAAAAAACTAAACAGAAATACACAGAACAAACATGAAACTAAACAGTAACACAGAACCACAGAGTCAAACAGAGAGCCACACAGTGACATACAGATCAACTCAGTAACACACAGAACCACAGTGTAACATACTGTATCAGAATCATGCAGTAACATGATTCTCATCGAATCATGCAGTAACATGCAGTATCAGATAATAATGCATATAACCACACAGTATTAGATCATAACACATCGAACCATACAGTTTTAGAGAGTAACAGTTAGAACTGTGCAGTACCAGACAGTAGTACCAGACAGAACCACACAGTATCAGATAGTAACAGGCAGAATCTCATAGTAATACATAGTAACACACAAAATCACACAATTCTACGAAGTAACACACCCAACAGCAATATATAGTCACAGAATCCCACATGAAACCATCATTTCTCCTTTCTGTGCTCTATCAGTTGTTGCTGCCTCAGACGTTAGAATTCCCTTTATTCACCACCTTATCTCCATTTAAAGGAAGTCTCTTCATGCCAGTCTGCTATACAACTGCATCCATCTCCTTCTCACTCACCTGCAGGCTCCTCTGTGCTACTAGCCACCCACCGCGGAGATACAGTCGGGATCTCTGTGAAAACAAACATTGAGAGATGCTGTACTACACATAATAATAGGCAACATGAAGAAAATACAAAGAAAACTTACAATTTACTTAGATTCTTATTTTACATCTAATTCCTCATTTAGAGCTGACCTCAATAAGTAAGTACATACTATCATCCATGAGGTCTGAAACTTGGCTTGTGATCAAACTGGATTCGTGAGTGACAGGTCAGAGTGAGGGATGGAGCGAGTAATCAGAGTGAGGGATAGAGCGAGTAATCAGAGTGAGGGATGGAGTGAGGGGTCAAGAGTGAGGGGTCAGAGTGAGGGATGGAGCGAGTAATCAGAGTGAGGGATGGAGTGAGGGGTCAGAGTGAGGGATGGAGCAAGTAATCAGAGTGAGGGATGGAGTGAAGGGTCAGAGTGAGGGATGGAGTCAGTGGCCAGTGAAGGATAGTGTGAGTGGTCAGTGAGGGAGGGAATGAGTAGTCAGTGAGGGATGCAGTATTCATGAGAGTGAGGGATGGGGTGAGTGCTCAGTGAGGGATGGAGTGAGTGGTCAGAGTGACAGGTGAAGTGAGTAGTCAGTATGAGCGATGGAGCAAGTGGTCAGAGAGAGGGATGGAGCGAGTGGTCACTGAAGGAAGGAGTAAGTGGTCAGAGTGAGGGATGGAGTGATTGGTCAGTGACAAGTGGAGTGAGGTGTTAAACTGAAGGATGGAGCGAGCGATCAGTGAGGGATGGAATTTGTGGTCAGAATGACGGATGGTGAGAGAAGTCAGAATGAGGGATAGAGTGAGTGCTCAGAGTGAGGAGTGGAGTGAGTGGTCAGTGTGAGCGATAGAACGAGAGGCTAGAGTGAGGGATGGGGCAAATGGTTAGTGAGGGATGGAGTGAGTTGTCATAGTGAGACGTGGAGTGAGTGGACAGTGAGGCATGGAGTGAGTGGTCAGTGAGGGATGGAGTGAGTGATCAGTGAGGGATGGAGTCAGTGGTCAATGAAAGATGGCATGAGTGGTCAGAGTGAGGGATGGAGTGAGCGTCAAAACAGTGTGGCGCTGGAGGAACACAGCAGGTCAGGCAGTATCAGAGGAAGGGTCCTGACTCGAAACATCAGCTTTTTTGCTCCTCTCATGCCGCCCGGCCTGCTGTGTTCCTCCAGCTTCACACTGTGTTATCTCTGACTCCAGCGTCTGCAGTTCTCGCTATCTCTGGATGGAATGAGTGGTCAGTGAGGGATGGAGTGAGTGGTCAGTGAGGGTTTGAGTAAGTGGTCAGAATGAGGTAAGTGGTAAGTGAGGGACGCAGTGATTCATGAGATTGAGGGATGGAAGAAAAGGTCAGTGAGAAATGGAGCGAGCGCTCAGTGATAAACGGAGCGAGTAGTCAGAGTGAGCAGTCACAGTGAGGGATGGACTGAGAGCTCTGTTACGAATGGCATGAGTGGTCAGAATGAGGGGTGAAGCGAGTGGTAAATGAGGGATGGAGTGAGAGTTCAGAGTGACAGATGTGGAGAGTCATCAGAATGAGGGATGGAGCGAGTTGCCACAGTGAGTGATAGAATGTGAGAGAGAGGGATGGAGGAGAGGTCAGAATGAGGGATGGAGCGAGTGGTTGGTGAGGGATAGAGTGAGTGGTCAGAGTGAGGATTGAGTGAGTGCTCAGTGAGGAATGTAGCGATTCATGAGAGTGAGTGATGGAGTGAGTGGTTAGAGTGAGGGATCATGTGATTGGTCAGTGAGGGATGGAGGGACTCATGACAGTGAGGAACACAGTGAGTGGTCAATGAGGGAGGGAGTGAGTGGTCAGTGTCAGATAGTGCAAGTGGTCAAATTGAGGGATGGAGCAAGTGGTCAGTGAGGGATGGAGTAAGTGTTTAGAATGAGGGTTTGAGCAAATGGTCAGAGTGAGGGCTGGAGTGAGCTGTCAGAATGAGAGATGGAGTGAGTGGTCAGTGAGGGATGGAATGAGTGGCCAGAGTGAGGGATGGAGCAAGTGGTTGGTGAGGAATGGAGAGAATGGTTAGAGTGAGGGATTGTATGAGGGGTCAATGAGAGATGAAGCGAGAGTTCAGAGTGACAGATAGAGTGAGTGGTCCGAATGAGGGATGGAATGAGTGGTCAGTGAGGAATGCAGTGAATCATGAGAGTGAAGGATAGAGTGAGTGGTAAGAGGGGGTTGGCATGAGTGGTCAATGTTAGGGAGGGACTTAGTGGCCAGAGTGAGGGGTGGAGTCAGTGGTGAGAGTGATGGATGGAGTGAGTGGTAACAAATGCATGGAGTGAGTGGGCAGAGTGAGTGATAGAGTGAGTTGTCAGAATGAGGGATGGTGTGAGTGGCCAATGAGGGATTGAGTGACTGGTCAGAGTGAAGGATGCAGGGACTTGGTCAGAGTGAGTGATAGAGTGAGTTGTCAAAGTGAGAGATGGAGTGACAGGTCAGTGAGAGATGGAGTGAGAGGTCAGTGAGGGATGGAGTGAGAGGTCAGTGAGGGATGGAGTGAGTAGTCACAGTAAGGAAAGGTGTGGGTGGTTAGATTGCGGGATGTAGTGACTGATAGGTGAGGGAGTGGTCACTGAGAGATGCAGTGACTCATGACTTTGAGGGATAAAGTGAATGGTCAGTAAAGGATGAACTGATTCATGAGAGTGAGGGACAGGATGAGAAGTCATTGAGGGATGGAGTGAGTAGTGAGACAGGGATGGAGACAGTGGTCACAGTGGGGGTTCGAGTGAGTGGTCTGGGTGCGGGTGGAGTTTAATGGTCAGAGTGAGGGATGAAGTGAATGGTCTGTGAGGAATGCAGTGACACATGAGAGTGAGGGATCGACTGAGTGGTCAATGAGGGATGGAAACAGTGGTCAGCATCAGGGATGGAGTGGGTGGTCAGAGTGGAATGGAGATTGTGATCAGTGAGGGATGGCACAAGTGGTCAGATTGAGAGATGTAGTGATGGTCAGTGAAGGATGGAGCGAGTGGTCAGAGTGAAGATTTGAGCGAATGGTCAGAGTAAGGGATAGGGTGAGTGGTCAGTGAGGGATGGAGTGAATGGTCAGAGTGAATAGTCAGGAGGTGATGCAGTGACTCATGAGGGGGAGTGATGGAGTGTGTGGTCAGTGAGTGATAGAGTTGGTGGTAAGAGAGGGATGGAGTGAGTGGTCAGAGTGAGGGATAGCATAATTGGTCAGAGAGGAATGCAGTAATTCGTGAGGGTGAGGGATGCAGTGACTGGTCAGTGATGGATGGAGTGAGTGGTCAATGAGGGATGGAGTCAGTGGGGAATGGAGTGACTGGTCATAGTAAGGGATCGAGCAAGTGGTCAGATTGAGGAATTGAATGACTGGTAGGTGAGGGAGTGGTGATTTTGAGGGATAGAGTGAGTGATCAGTAAAGGATGAAGTGATTCCTGAGAGTGAGGGACAGAGTGAGTGGTCAGTGAGGGATGGAGTGAGTAGTGAGACAGGGATGGAACAAGTGGTCAGAGTGAGGGATGGAATGAGTGGTTGGGTGCGGGATGGAGAGAGTGGGCAGTAAGGAATGGCGCAAATGGTCAGATTGAGAGGTAGAGTGAGTGGTCAGAGTGAAAGATGGAGTGAGTGGTCAGTGAAGGACGGCACAATGGTCAAGAGTGAGGGATGGAGTGAATGGTCAGTGAGGGCTGGAGTGAATGTTCACAGTAAATGATGGACAGAGTGGTCAGTGAGGGATGCAATGCCTCATGAGTTTGAGAGATGGGGTGAGCGATCACTGAGGGATGAAGTCAATGATCACTGAGCGATCCATTGATTCATGAGAGTAAGGGATGGAGTGAGGGGTCAGTGGGGGAATGGAGTGAACGGTCAGAGTGAATGGTCAGTAGGTGATGCAGTATTTCATGAGAGTTAGGAATGGAGTGAGTGGGTTGTGAGGAATGCAGTGATTCATAAGAGTGAGTGTTGGAATGAGTGGACAGAGAGGGATGCATGGAGTGGTCAGAGTAAGGGATGGAGCGAGTGGTCAGACTGAGGGATGGAGTAAGTGGCCAGTGAGGGATGGAGTGAGTGGTCACAGTAAGGGATGGAACAAGTGGTCAAATTGAGGGATGGAGTGAGTGGTCAATGAGGGAGTGGTCAGTGAGGGATGCTATGCGTCATGAGTTTCACGGATGGTGTGAGTGATCACTGAAGGATGAAGTGAGTGGTCATTAAGGGATGCATTGATTCATGATAGTGAGGGATGAGGTGAGTTATCAGAATGAGGAATGGAGCAAGTGGTCAGAGTGAGGGGTTGAGCAAATGATCAGTCTGAGGAATGGAGTGAGTAGTCAGCGAGGAATGCATTGATTCATGAAAGTGAGTGATGGAGTGAGTTCTCAATGAGAGATGTAGTGAGTGGTCAGTGTCAGAGATGGATTGAGTAGTCAGAGACAGATGGAGTTAGTGGTCAGAGTGAGGGATGGAGTAAGTGGTCAGTGAGGAATGCAATGAATGATGACAGTGCGGGATGGAGTAAGTCGTCAGACTGAGAGATGGAGTGAGTGGTCAGTGAGGGATGGAGTGAATGGTCGGAGTGAATAGTCAGTAGGTGATGCAGTGATTAATGAGAGTGAGGGATGCAGTGTGTGTTCAGTGAGTAATGGAGTTGGTGGTCAGAGAAGGATGGAATGAGTGATCAGAGTGAGGGATGGCATGAGTAGTCAAAGTGAGGAATGCAGTGATTCATGAGAGTGAGGGATGGAGTGCATCATCAGAGTGAGGGATGGAGTGAGTAGTCAGAGGGCAGGATGGACTGAGTGGTCAGTGAGGGATGGGGTGAGTGCTCAATGAGGGATGCATTGATTCATGACAGTAATGATGGAGTGAGTGTTCAATGAGGGACGCTGTGATTCAAGACAGCGAGGAATGGAGTGAGTGATCAGTGAGGGACAGAGTGGTTGGTCGGTGATGGATGGAGTGAGTGATCAGTGGGGGATGCGGGATTGATGAGAGTGAGGCATGAAGTGAGTGATCAATGAGGAATGGAGTCAGTGATCAGAGATGGATGCACA